TGGCCTATAGAATGTATTTAGAAGCTTTCCTTCCTCTTCTTTTTGGGAAAAGCTTGAGAAGAATAGGTGTTAACTCTTTTTTAAATGTTTGGTAGAATTCATGTGTAAAGCCACCTGGTCCTGGACTTTTGTTTGTTGGGAGTTGATTACCAGTTCAATTTTGTTGTAACTGGTTTGTTTAGATTTTCTATTTCTCCCTGATTCAGTTTTGGAAGATTATACATTTCTAGGAATTTATCCATTTCTTCTTAGTTGTCCAATTTGATGGCATATAATTTTTTTGTAGTATTCTTTTATAATCCTCCATATTTCTGTGGAATCAAATTGTTATTTCTCTTTCATTTCTGATTTTATATGAATCCTCTGTTTTTTTCTTGAGTCAGCTGAAGATTTATCAATTTTGTTTATCTTTTCAAAGAAGTAGCCTTTGGTCTCAGGGATCTTTTCTATTTCTCTTGAAAGTCTCTATCATTTATTTCAACTCTGTATTATTTCCTTCCTTCAACTAACCTTGGGCTTTGTTCTTCTAGTTCCTTTATGTGTTAAGTTTAGATTGAGATTTTTCTTGTTTCTGCCATCTCTCTATAAATTTTCCTCTTAGAACTGCTTTTGCTGGATCCTAAAGATTTTTGGACTGTTGGGTGTTCATTTTCCTTTGTCTTCATGAATTTTTAAATTTCCTCTTTCATTTCTTGGTTGACTTGTTGTTTAGTAGCATGTTGTTTAGCCTCCACATGTTTGTGATTTTTTTCCAGTTTTTTCTTTTGATTTCTAGTTTTATATCATCGTGCCATGAAAAGATGCTTGATATGAATTTAATCTCCTTAAGTATATTGAGACTTGTTTTGTGGCCTAATATGTGATCTCTCCTGGAGAATGTTCCATGTTCACTTGAAAGAATGTATATGCTGTTATTTTTGGATGGAATATTCTGTATATATCTGTTAAGTCCATCTGGTCTAATGTGATGTTTAAAAACAGTTTCCTTCTTTATTTTTTGGTTGGCTGATCTATTCACTGATGTAAGTGGGATGTTAAAGTCCCCTATTATTGTATTACTATTTCTCCCTTTGTGTCTGTTAATATTTGGTTTCTGTATTTAGGTGCTCCCATGTTGGGTGCATAGATATTTATAATTGTTCTATTCTCTTCTCTGATCAATCTCTTCATCATTATGTAATGCCCTTCTTTGTATCTTGTTACAGTTATTGTTTTAAAGTCTATTTTGTCTAAGTATTGCTAACTGGCTTTTTCTTTTCCCTTCCATTTGCACAGAATATCTTTTCCATCCCTTCACTTTCAGTTGCATTTGTCTTTAGGTCTGAAGTGAATCCCTTATAGGCAGCATATAAATGGGTCTTATTTTTTTTTACACATTTAGTCATCCCATGTTTTTTGATTGGAGCATTTAGGGCATTTACATTTAAAATAATTATTGATAGGTATGTACTTATTGCTATTTTGTTAATTGTTTCCGGTTATTTTTGAAGTTCTTTTCTGTTCCTTTCTAATTTTTTTCTCTGTGATGAGTTTCTTTAGCGTTATGCTTTTATTCTTTAAATTTTTCTTGTCTGTTTAGGTTTTGGTTTGTGGTTAGCATGAAATTCATACATAACATCCTAAGGATATAGCAGTTTATGTTGTCACCTAAGTTCGAACACATTTAAAAATCACAATTTTTACTCCCCCTCTTCCATGTTTTATGTATGTTGTCATATTTTACATCTTTTAAAAATCCCCTTAGCTAATTTTTAGATATAATTGATTTCACTGCTCTTTTAACCTTCATACTACCTTTGTAAGTGACTGGTCTAGTCTCTTTACTGTGTGTTTGCTTTTGCTCATGAAATTTTTTCCTTTCATAATTTTCTTCTAATCATGGTTTTTTCTTTTCCACTTAAAGTCCCTTTTCCACTTAAAGAAGTCCCTTTACTATTTCTTGTAAGGCTTGTTTCCTTCAATTCTGAATGATAACCTTGTCAGGTGGAGCATTCTTGGTTGTAGATTTTTTTCCTTAGCATTTAAATATATTGTGCTACTCCCTTCTGGACTGCAAAGTTTCTGCCTGAAAACTCAGCTGATAGCCCTATGGTATTTCCTTATATATATAACCAGTTGCTTTTCTCTTGTTTCTTTTTAAATCTTCTCTTTAATCTCTGACATTGTAATTATTACGTATTGTGGTGTGGACCTGTTTGGGTTCATCTTGTTTGAAACTCTCTGTACTTCCTCAACCTGGATGTCTATTTTCTTCCCTAGATTAACAAATTCCCAAACTATTATTTAATAAGCTTTCTGCCCCTTTCTTCCTCTCTCCTCTTTCTTGGACCCCTATAATGCGAATGTTTTGTGTTTGATGTTCAAGCGATCTCTTACCTGTCTTCATTAAAAAAAAAAAAATCCGCTTCTTTTTGCTGTTCAGTGTGGGTGATTTTTATTACTCGTTTACTACTCTTGTCTTCCTGTTTGCCGATACATTCTTCTGCATGTTCTGTGTTGATTCCCTTTAGCATATTTTTATTTCAGTTATTGTATTCTTTCTTCAGCTGATTTTTTAAAAAATATTTTCTATCTCTTGTTGACATTGAGTTCATCCACTCTTCAGTCCAGTGAGCATCTTTATGATTACTTTGAACTCCTTATCAAGTAGATTGGTTATATTTTTTTCTGAGATTTTTGTCGTCCTTTCATTTGGAGCATACTCCTATGTTTCATTTTGCTTGACTTTTTGTGTTTCTGTGAATTAGGTGGAATAGCTACTTCTAAACTTGAAGGAATGGTCTTGTGCATGGTTGTCTCCTGTGTAGATTGTGTGTGCTTGGTGACTGGCTGGCTGGGGGTGTGGATGGCAGGAATTGTGGCTGGCAAGATTTGGCGGGGGGTGGGGGGGGCGTCCCAGGACATTCTATGTTGGGTCTGCCCTGGTAGTATGCCCGGAGCTGAAGTGGGCATAGGTTGGGCAGTTTCAGGGCTGTCTGTACAGAGTGTTCCCAACAGGATAGCTGAAGTGGGTGCAAGCTGGGGTAGCTCCACATGTTCCTCTCAGGAGGCATTTTGGTGGGTGGATGCAGCCCAGGCAGGGCACAGGCTGGAGGGATCCCAGAGCCCTTCACACAGGGGGTGTCCTGGCAGGAGGGCTGGAGGCAAAGTGAGTGCAGTTCTGTTCCTAAAACCCCAAATTCTGTTGGGCTCAGATGGTAAAACTCAGGAAAGGTGGTGGTCTGGTTTTCAGGAAGAGAAGAATCTAGATACATTAGAACTAAAGACAAGTGTCATTTGAGACTTAAAATGACTAACTGAGGTACAGAGCGTGATCTAAGTCCTTGTTACTCAAAAGTGACCCCCAGAGCAGCAGCCTCAGCATCTCCTGGGAGTGTTTTAGAAGTGGAAAACAGACCCCACCCCAGGCCCACTGAGCCAGAATGTGCACAATACTAAGATCCCAGCAGATCTGGATGCAGATTAGTTTGACAAGTCCTGCCCTAGGATCATTCAGATAAAGAAGTCCAAGCTAAGAAAAGTGGACTGACCATCATGTTATAAGGGGCTCAGGGGGAGGAGAGGATGTTGATCCAAACACACGGTTGGCAACAGCTCTTGGCCAGGCTTGCTGATTCACAGTCCCGTGGCTCTAGCTTACAGTGCACACAGCACTACCCCTGTGACAACTGACTCAGCAGAGCAGTAGCCTGGAGTGAAAGAAACATCCACTGCCAGGGGTCCTGTCCTCCATCCAGCAGGTCTCTCCCCTCCCCCTGGGGGTGGACAGCTCCTAAAGGAGAGGAGGCACCTGTTTTGAGACCAGGCTTCTTTCTAAAAACATCTGAGGATTGCAACGAAGAAATGTCATTGGGGCACCTGGGTGGCTCAGATGGTTAAGCGTCTGCCTTTGGCTTGGGTCGTGATCTCAGGGTCCTGGGTTCCAGCCCCGCGTCGGGCTCCCTGCTCAGCGGGGAGTCTGCTTCTCCCTCTCTCCCCTGCTTGTACGCACTCACACTCACGCTCTCTCATAAAATCTTAAAAAAAAAAAGTCATGGAGGATCTGGGCTAATTACAGCAATCCCCATCACCCTCCATTTAGCTGTGGAACTCACACATCCGAAAGCTGTCAGAATGCTAATTCCATTCTTTTATTTCCTCATACCACAAACATTTTTAGTTCATCTGCCTTTTTACAACCTGATTTACACAAGCAAACTGCAAATGAAAAACAGGCATTCTTAAATCCTTCAAAATACATGTATGAAACATCGCACAAAGCATAGTATTTATACACAAACAGGCTTAGCTGAAGCAGCTTTATCGCAGTTTGTTAAAATCAGCATTACAACTTAAATATTTATGCCTGTAAAAGTTTGCATAATCTGCTATACATAGTTATTTCAGAAGCAGTTAGGACCTAATTGGGGAAAAAAAAAACCTCAACAAAAAGCACTAACAATTATGTAAACTTAAATTATTTACAATTAAACACGTAGGGTCCTGATTCACAAAACTTAGTGCACATCATGATTCATTCATGGTTTTCACAGAGAAGGTAAGCATTATGTGGAATATTCCCCAGGTAAAATCTAGAATGGTCTTTAGGAGAATGTCAATATGTTTACCGGAAACTAGAGAAAAAGTAACAAAGACCTGAGCAACTGCTTTTGATTTGAAAATTGAAGTGTGTGTGTGTGTGTGTGTGTGTGTGTGTGTGTGTGCACAACTGCTTTTGATTTGAAAATTGAAGTGTGTGTGTGTGTGTGTGTGTGTGTGTGTGTGTGTGTGTAGCAGCGATCAGAACCAACAGGGGCCATAACAGAAGAGCTGGTACTATTTCTGACATTACTCCTGGTATGTGCAGGAAGAGAAATAATTCTGCCCCCTTTTTTAATTAATAAAAAAAATCACCCCCCAGTTCACCACAGGTGAATTCAAAGTAATAGTCTTTCTTCCCACAGACTGCTCTTTAAATTTAATGCCTAAATCAGCAAATTTAAACAAAGAAGTACCTTTTATAACAGCCTTCAGTTCAATGGATTTTATTTAGAGGTGAAAGCTTGAGGCAGGGTGACCAAGCTGTTAGCTATTCCAATTACAAAAGAAACATTAGAGACAAGGTGCCAGAAACCCAAGGTTACCCTAGAAGCATTTCAAGGGATTCAACAGTGATTTTAAGTACACAACAAAGGAGAAGACTCAAAGAAAATTAACAAGACCAAGTGTTTTTAAAGAGAAGTGATAAATTTCAGTGAATCAGGTCCCAGGTAAAGTCTTTTTTTAAAAAAAAAAACCCAAAAATTTACAGTAAACATCTTAAACTCTGGAATGCAGGTATAGTACAGTGATGAGTACATTACATTTACAAAACTGCTCAGACAGTAGGTATTCCAGAGTAAGAATTGAAAAATGTACAAGCCGGTTCACAAGGACTTTAGATACAATGTTATTAAAATACGTTGTTAATCATAAAAATATTTTACTATGTACATGTATGCTGTATAAACTCTAGATTTACCTACTGAAAGAAAGCCTCTAAACCCATCTCTGGCCGACTGGCCCAACAGACGGTGCCATTCTAGAATTTGGTCTTCATCCCACACACAGGGGCTGAGGAGTACTGCAGTCAGTTCTCCAATAAAATAGTAATGTGTTTTTCCTTTGGCAGAAGGTCTAGTTGGAAGAGTCAGTTTTACTTCCACTGTATTTTACTTTCCTAAATGCTGGTCCAAGTAACTCTGGGCATTCACATAATTCATTTGCAATTTGGTTACACTTTAAAATAAGGCTATAGTTCATCTCATCAGTTATCACACTGTCTTGCTTGTAGTCAGGATGGTTTGCGATAAACTCTCTCATCCACCTGGCAACTGTCATTAGTTCTCCTGGGGAGGGGGGGGAATTAAGACAACATAAGTTAATAGAAGTGCCTTTTTTTTTTTTTTTTTTTTACAGTAAGTTCACATTTGGTGACCGGCATAAACACAATCCTAAAGAAAAATCAGTACGACCTTCTGGTGTACCCACATGGCAGAGGCTGGGAAAAAGGTTTTCCAGGGTGTTTGGGGAAGAATTTTAGGTTGCAGGTAGGCAACTAGCACACACATCCCAAGGTTCGATGTTACCCACACAGGGGCACTGCCAGCTCTTCAGGAACAGGAAGCCACTAAGGATGTCACGTACTCAAGGACTACAGCTAACACTGATGTGTGATGTGGAAGTTGGCAGGAGAGTAGACCCTAGGAGTTCTCATCACAAGAAGTTTTCTTTTTCTTTTCTTCTGTCTACATAAGAAGAGGATCTTAACTGAGCCTACTGTGGTAATCGCTTCATAATATATGTAAATCAAACCATCATGCCGCAGGCCTTACATTTATACTATGATGTATGTCAATTATTCTTCAACCAAACTGGAAAGAAATCCAAAACCAGGAGCTAATATGTACTAGAGCACGTGTCCTACCATTTGGCCGGAGCTGCTACTGATTCAGGAACTGTAGGTTCTGAAGTTCCCAGAACCCTCTTGGATCAAAGAGGTGGAGAAAATAAGGAATAGTTAAGTAGAATGAAGGGAGGAACTGGCAGACATGCCGTTTCAGGGTATATCTTATGTGACTCCAGAAAGTTCATGGAAGTCTCAAGGGAAATGGCAGACGCCATTACTGTTACTCTTACAGCTGCCTGCTCCCTTGTGCCAGGCCCTTGTTAGGAACCATCAGTGTGATCTCAAAGCAAAACAAGAGGGGTTTTGGGGCACTCACTGGATGAGAAGCAGCTGAAGAACCAGACGTCCTAGCTGTCGCTCCTGTAACCTAGAGTTACTTAGCCCTAGAGAGAGAGCCCGTGATGATGTACAACAAACACAGCTACCCATAAATGACTAACAGGCAATCTAGATACTCCAGTTCATTGTCTAAGATGCTATGGACTTAAAGATGCACTGCTTTATGAGCTGGCACGAGAAAAAGCACTGCTAAGTAGATGGTCAGCGATTATAAGGTGTATCCCACTGCAGAGACATCAGGTGTGAAAAAGAATGCACTGATAAAATACAGTATACTTGAAAAGACTACGTTAAGAAACTGAAGGTTGTAAGACTGTAAAGGTTCTGCCTACATTAAGATTTAAAACAAGAAAGAAAAAGCAAAGGCTGCCATACCAGATGCTCTCTTCTTAATTAGCTTTAGGTAGTTCAGAATACTGCATCTGGTGTCCACGTCCACTTCCATGTTTTCGAGGTAAGAGTTCAGAATCGGGATCAGCCCAGGAAACACAGCTTCCTGCGAAAAGCAGGGCACGCCATTAGTGCTCTGGCCACGGGTGGAGGCGGTGAGGGGCGCGGAGCAGAGCCCCTACCTTCCCATTGATGATGGTGTCTATGCTCATCAGGGTGTACTCCTCCACTGCCTGGTCCGTGCTGTTCTGGGCCTTGCTGTAGCCGTCCACCATGGCGGTGCCACCTGCCAGAGGACAGGACAGAGGCGCTTGAGCAGCATGCTGTAGCCTAAAGTAAGTGGCCCTAGAAATCCAAGAGAATATAATACCTTTGCAAATATCTTTCCTGAAATAAAACATTCCCTGCAAGACAGCGTCGCGTTTCTGTGCAACTTTCATGTTTTCATCAACCTAAGGGAGAAAAACAATCATGGCTACGTCAGAACATTCTCGATCCAACATAGAAGTTGTGGTGCCTTCCTCACTTTTGCAATTAAGACTTACCCCACAAGAATTCTACTTTCCCCTTCAACGCTTTCTGTTGGAGGAACAGACTTTTCACTTTTATGTGCGGCCTGTGTCCTCCAACTACAGATTGGCATGTGCTTTTTAATAAGAACGGGGGCATTCTAAGTTTACTTTAAAAAACCAACAAAAACTTTTATTCACATGGGCTGCCTGTACTCCAAAACACCTTTGGAGTGCTTTGTGACTGAGCCTAGTAGGAAATCCCTGGAGGGCAAGGGGTTGGTTCTCTTCCCACAGCACAGTGACTCACCCAAGATGCCAGGCTAACCAAAGGCAGAGAACCCAGAGAGAACTTCTGGTTCAGTGCTGTGCCCTCCCTACCACGGGGGATTTGCTGCCTCACTGTGGTGAGGAGAGGAAAAGAATCGACAGGTTGTCAGATATGGAATAAGGTTAGCCCTCCAAGAACAGAGGGTCCATCTGGTAGTTCTGGCCACAGCAACTATACATGAGCTCAAAAAACTTTTTAAAAAATATATATATACCCAGGAGTGCCTGGGTGGCTCAGCTGGCTAAGCATCAGACTCTTGATCTCAGCTCAGGTCTTGATCTCAGGGTCTTGAGTTCAAGCCCAACACTGGGCTCTATGATGGGCATGGAGCCTACTTAAAAAAAAGAAAAAAAAATACACTCAGCAGTAAGACTACTGGATCATGTGGTATGCCCAGGCCACACACCAGACCAGTTGAATCAGAGCCTGCGATTGTGGGTCCCGGCTATCTGTATCTATTTTATATCAAAGCTTCATTTCTGGTGTACAAAATAGTGATTCAACAACTGAATCCATTATGCTGTGCTTGCAACAAGTGAAGCTCCCATCTGTCACCATACAATGCTACTGAAGTACCAATGACTATATTCCCTGTCCTTACACTTTCGCTTTCCTTCCTGGGACTTAGTCCTTGATAACTGGAAGCCCGTACCACCTGCTGCCCTTCCCCATTTTGCTCACTCCCCGACTCCCTCCCCTCTGGCAACCATCAGTTTGTTCTCTGTATTTAAGGGTCTGATTCTGCTTTTTTTGTTCATTTTTTTTGATTCTACGTAGAAGTGAAATCACAAGGAATTGGTCTTTCTCTGACTTAGAATAATACTCTTTAGGGTCCATCCGTGCTGTCGCAAATGGCAACATCTCATTCTTTTTTACAGCTGAGTACTATTCCATTGTACATATAACCACATCTTTTTTCTCCATCTATTGATGGACACTTGGATCGCTTCCATATCTTGGCTATTGTAAATAATGCTGCAATAAACATAATGGGGTGTTTATCTTTTTGAATTAATATTTTCATTTTCTTCGGGTAATACCCAGTAGTGGAATTACTAAATCATATTGCAATTCTATTTTTTTGAGGAACCTTCATATATATGGTTTTCCACAGTAGCTCCGCTAACTTACATTCCCACCAAAGTGCAACAAAGGGTTTCTTTTTCTCCTCATCCTCACCAACATTGCTATATCTTGTCTTTTTGATTCTAGCCATTTTGACAGGTGTAAGATGATATCTCATTGTGGTTTCGATGTGCACATCCCTGACAGTGAGTGATGAACAACTTTTCATATGTCTGCTGGCCATTTGCAGGTCTTCTTTGGAAAAATGTGTATTCAAGCCCTCTGTCCATTTTTTAATCGGATTTTGTTTTGTGTGTGTGCATGTTGAAATTTTTATATATATATATATTCTGCATATTAACAGATATAACATTTGCAGGTATCTTCTATTCAGCATGCTGCCTTTTTGTTTTGCTGATTGTTTCCTTTTCTGTGCAAAAGCTTTTTAGTTTGATGTGGTTACAGATTTTTGCTCATTTCCCTTGCCAGAGGAGATGTATCTAGAAAAATATTGCTAAGGTACGTGTCAAAGATTACTGCTTATGTTTTCTTCTATGAGTTTTATGGTTTTAGGTCTCACATTTAGGCCTTCAATCCATCTTGAGTTTATTTTTATATCTGGTTTAAGAAAGTGGTTCAGTTTCATTCTTTTGCATGTTGCTGTCCAGTTTTCCCAGTACTATTTATTGAAGAGACTGTCTTTTTCCCATTGTATATTCTTGCCTCCTTTGTCACAGACTGACCACATAAGAGTGGGTTTATTCTGGGGCTTTCTATTCTGTTCCACTGACCTATGTGTCTACCTTTGGGCCAGTACCTTACTGTTTCAACTATAACAGCTTTGTAGTCTATCTTGAAATCTCAGACTGTGATACCCCTAGCTTTGTTTGTTCTTTCTCAAGATTGCTTTGGCTATTTGGGGGAAGGTTTTTTTTGTTGTTGTTCCAAACAAATTTTAGGATTATTCTATGAAAAATACTATTGGTATTTTGATAGGAATTGCACTGAATCTGCAGATTGTTTTAGTAGGGACATTTTAACAATATTTTTCCAGTCCATAAGCATGGTATGTCTTTCCATTTGTTAATGTCACCTCCAGTTTCTTTCATCATTGTTTTATAGTTTTCAGAGTACAGGTTTTTCACTCCTTGGTTAAGTTTATTTCTAGGTATTTTCTTTTTTGCTTAATTGTATATAAATTTTACTTTCTGCTTTGTTATTGTGTATAGAAATGCAACAGATTTCTGTGAATTTTATATCCTATAGCTTTACTGATTCATTTATTACCTCAAGAGTTTTTTTGGTGTAGTCTTTAGAGTTTCCTATACAGTATCATGTCATCTGCAAATGAGTTTAACTTCTTACCAATTTGGATGCCTTTTATTTCTTTTTCTTGTCAGATTGCTGGGACGAAGATGACTTCCAGTCCTATGCTGAATAAAAGTGGTAAGAATAGATATCCTTGTCTTGTTCCTGATCTTAGAGGAAAAGCTCTCAGTTTTCACCATTGAGTATGTTAGCCGTGGGTTTTTCACATATGGCCTTTATTAAGTTATGTTCCCTCTAAACCCACTTTGTTGGGAGTATTCATGAATGGATGTTGAATTTTGCCATTTTTTTTTTTTGCATCCACTGAAATAATGATTTTTATCTTCCACTCCATTAATGTGGTGTACCACATTGACAGATTTGCAACTACTGAACAATCCTTGCATCCCCAGAATAAATCTCACTTGATCATGGTGAATAATCCTTTTAATGTGTTGTTGAATATGGTTTTCTAATATCTTATTGAGGATTTTGCATCTCTGTTCAAAGATATTCACCTATACATCTTCATCTGATTTTGGTAATAGGGTAATGCTGGCCTCATAGAATGTATTTGTAAGCTCTTCTTCCTCTTCTATTTTTTTGCAACAGTTTGAGGGAAATAGGTATTAACTCTTCTTTAAATGTTTGGTAGAATTCACCTGTAAATCCATCTGGACTTTTGAGTTTTTGGATTATCAGTTCATCTTCATTACTAGTATTTGGTCTGTTCAGATTTTCTATTTCTTCTGGATTCAGTTTTGGAATATACTATTTCTAGGAATTTATCCATTTCTTCTTATTTGTCCAATCTGTTGGCATATAATTTTCTGTAGTAGTCTCTTATAATCCTTTGTATTTCTGTGGTGTCAGCTGTTACTTTTCTTTCATCTCTGATTTTACCTGTATTCTCCTTTACTTGAGGAATCTAAAGGTGTTTCAATTTCATTTATCTTTTCAAAGAACCAGCTCTTGGTTCCATTGATCTTGTCTATTTTTTTAGTGTCTATTTCATTTATTTGTTCTGAGCTGTATTTCCTTCCTCTTAATCTTGGGCTTTGTTCTCCTTTCTCTAGTCCCTTTAGGCGTAAGGCTCTTTGGAATTTTTCTTGTTTCTTGTGGTAGGCTTGTATCACTGTAATACTCTGTCTCCCAAATTTGGACCACTGTTTTTATTTTCATTAGTCTCCATGTACAAAAAACTCTTGATTGTGAATTCTCTATTTTTCCAGTGACTTTTTAAGACCCTTGACGTAGAGCTTGTAACACTTTTTAGTCTCTTATTTCCCATAATGAAATTTAGGAGAATCTTAACATACATAAGCTAAAGGGTCATGCTGAACTAGGATGGATGGTGCCAAGTATTTGATTACTGAGCCTGTCTCCCATACTCAATTTCTATTGTTATGGTTTTTTTTTTTTAAGAGACACATGACCTCCTGAATAATCTATAGACACTTCTACGAACATATCCAAATAACAGTATAATCCATCATGGCTATGAACAAGTTTTCATTTCTGCTATTTTTTTCTTACTCTTGACAAAAGTTCCTAAAGATCACTGTTTTAATTTTTGCTTTTATGAATTTCTCTTTAGAAGTATACTTTACTACTGCACTTTAGATTCTCAGTTTGACTGCTAAGGTTTACTTTAAATCTCTTAAGTATTTAAAGCTATGATTTTGCCTTTAGAGACTAGCTTTGCCAGCATCCTAGTTTGAGTTCATTTAATACCTACAAGGAAAGCAATTTTAGATTTCCAACAGTTAAATTTCTCTTGAACATCTTTTTGTTGAATTTTGGTGGGAATGCATCCTGCATGGTGTTTACTTTTGAGAGGTGAAGAAAATCTTCCTTAGGGCACTTGGAAAAACGTGCTGTGGTAGGAGATTTGTGGGAACGACTATACAAAGCCAGCTTATTAACCGTGCCATTTAATTCCCCAATAGCCTTTCTCTTTCTTTGGTTATACAGCCTGGCAGGTACTGAGTAACAGGAAAGGCACTCTGGGTGATTTACCTCCATGAATCCCACATGTTCTTGTAACAGCCCACTTATCCCCAGTTCTACACATGCAAACAGAGGCATTGGGATGCTAAGTACCTTGTTCAGGTTAAAGAGCTGTTAAGGAGTACAGGTGATTTATGAATTTAATGCTCACAATGCAGCCACATCAGAGCCACCACACTACAGTGTCTTTAATTCTTTTGTGCTTCTGAGAAAGGTCGGCTACACTTTAAGGTAAAAACAAAAATAATACTATCTTGGAAGAATACAGAAAACAGTTTTCTCTATTTAATACTTCATTCTCACACTTTTGTCTGTTATCAATTTGTCATTTCTGCTCTCTCTTTAAAAGGTCATTATCCAGTTCTTGTCTTGTTTTAGGGATGCAAACACCTACACCATTATGTTGCTCTTTTATATCATCTGTTTTAGCTTTTTAACAAGATAGTTTATTCACATTTGTTTTCATCTTATTTTCACCATTTTATGTTCTCTGGGCTATATCATACCACTCCCTTCCCCCACCCCCAACTTTTGTGGCACTGAAAAGGTTCTCTTTGTTCTTTTCCCACTCCTTTTAACTAGCAGGTTAGAAGTAAAAATTCTTATTTCTATACTCTTAGTCTACCATACATCTCCTTCCACTATCCCCTTGGTAGGTAAGAGTTCTGGCATACTATTAGCACTAATAATCTATTAAGTTTTGATGGAATCACCTGGAATTTCCAGTTTGGGAAGACAATTCTGTTTTCCTTACCCCTCAGGATTCTGTAGACTTTTCTCCATCTCGGCATTTAATGTTGGAGATGAGGAGGGATATCAACTCATTTTTTTTCCTCTTGGAATTATCTGATCTGAATTTTCTCTCCCATTCAGATGGCTGATTTTCCTCTTTAGGATTCAGAAATTCCTAGATTTGGGTTCTTTAAATATTTCTGTCCCATCCTTTATGGACTCTCAGGGAAAATTCTATTTCTCGTATTACTGGATCTCTCATTTTTTTTATATAGATCATTCTCTGCTAAATGATTGTAAACATTGAAATTTCCAGAGTAATTATCCATGTTTCAGTTTTTCCATGATTTCCATTTTCTTGTCATCCTGAGATAAATCTCAATTTGGTTCCTAAATTATTAACTTGGACCTTTAACATCATTGGCTCTAACTGGTGAATATACTGAGTTTTAAAAGGGTAGCTTCTTCTAAGAACTCTTCACCAAATGCCCTCTCCTCCATAGCGCTTGGTTATTTTCTCGAGAATTTTTTCAAGGGCACTAGTTAGAATTTAAGAATTCTTTCCAGTTGCTTGAATTAACTATATTTCACTGAGGGGAATGCATTCTGTAAGCCCAACTGGGCCCTTCCTTTAAGGCATTAAAAGTTATCCATTTTCCACTGACTTTCAGACATCTATTCATATTTGTTAACATAGGCGTAGATGGGGAACTTCCAGGGACTCTTCCTTACAGGGGCTGATCCCCCTAGCAGGTATACCTGTATGGGCAAATGGCCCATAGAATCCTATGGGTTACTTTTGGCCTGGGTGTTAAGAGCAGGCAGAGACAGGCTGACGGCCAAACTTCCATCAGGGTGTGCAGGTGGGACAGGTACAGGCTGGAGATCCCCCTCATGGAGACAGTAGGGAGTGAGGTGGGACAGAGGCTGAGCTAGGCATTTCTTTTTTCCTTCTGTGCTTGCTCTGACAGGGCTGCTCTACCTCTCCTTTCTTTGGCACTAAATCCTCAGCAGACCCTTCACTCAGCCCAGCAACCTTTCCCAGCCACTTGCTGTGCCCAGGGACCCGCTGGCCCTGGAAACAAAGGTCTCCAGTTAGTTAGCTGCTGCCTCACAGTGTGGAATTGTTCCAAGGCTCTGCTGGGAAACTGCTTCCAGAGAGCTCCATTTTGAGTTTTTATTGGGCTGGAGCTGATGAACTAGTAGTTGTTTTTCTGATAGTCCAATCTACCTTCTCCAGAAACATCTCCAGTTTGGTTCCACTGAGGTGACCTTTCCCTACATCCCAGCAGTTACACTTGCCCCTCTCCTATTTTAGTATCATAACCAAAATGGCATTTGGGGGAGGATGAAATCAATTTGTGGATTCTCTCCAACCATCATCCTAAATTGAAAGCTTCTAGAAATAAAGTAGTTATTCAAAAGCAACCCTAAGGAGCACCTGGGTGGCTCAGTCGTTAAGCGTCTGCCCTCGGCTCAGGTCATGATCTCAGGGTCCTGGGATTGAGCCCCACATTGGGCTCCCTGCGCAGCGGGGAGCCTGCTTCTCCCTCTCCCATTCCCCCTGCTTGTGTTCCCTCTTTCGCTGTCTCTCTCTAATAAATAAATAAAATCTTTAAAAAAACAACAACAAACAACAACAAAAACAACCCTAAATCTCTTTCAAACAGGCTAAGGAGCTACTGTTAGCACTTTTTGTTTTCCAGGAATCTCTACTAACGCAGTACCAAAATCTACAGCATAAGCTTTGGTTTAAAAGGAAAAAGAATAGGGTAGGGGAGAAGCCATTTTATTCTAAATTCTCAATCAGGTCAGATCTAAAATAAATATCATACATAAATAAGCAACAGATAATAATCTGTAGATACCCAAACCCATCACTATACCGAAACACATTCTTACCTTTGATAGTGGAATGAGAAAATCCAGTTTGTATGAAAGGATCACTCTGGTAAGCAGCACCACAAACACCACATATGCAGAGTTCTCAAAGTCTGTTAACTGAACCTAGACAAGCAGGAGCCCAGAGAAGTTATGGACCAACGACACAAACATGCTCTTCCCCGACAGGCCCCTCCTCAGATCATGTCATGCCCAAACCAGCTCCTACTTCACCACGTGGGGCTTGGAAGCCCTCTGTCCACAAGCTATTCTCAGAAGTCAAGGTTTAGGTTTTGGACCTGCTTTTATCATGCATAGATTTGATTTGTATTTGAAGAGCCTCTGAGAAGAGCATTAGAAGGGTAATGGACAGAGGACAGGTATGATCCAATCACTTCCTGCTGATGTGCATCTTACCTCCATGGGTCGGAATTCTACTCTCCATCCAATATCTGAGTTTGGAGGAGGGGGTTTAAATCTCATTGTCTGCCAATTTGTGGACTGAATATTCTATAATAAAAAAAGCAGAAAATAAAACCAACTTTCCACATGTCCAGGAAAATATTAAGATGGTTTGATATTTAATAAGGGAAAATTATTCATTGCTGATACCAAATACTCTAACTTACAAATACAAAAAGGTACAGTGTAGTATTTCCTTGGTGTGTGACCTACTAGGAAAACAAAGTGTTTAACAAAAGTTGGGTGATATGTTAGCAGCACAGAAATAACTGATGCCATTTTTTTTACGCAGCAAGTTTGACTTTTTCACCTATCTGCAATCAAGAGAAAATACAGAATCAGATATAACTTGTCAGAATCATAAAGGGTACTTTAAACCCATCTAAAATTTCTTAATTCTTTATTGCACTAGACAGTGAAAGGCATCAGATTTCTCCTATAACTAACTGCTCACAGGTACAGAAAATGGGCTCCATCTTGGTTAGTGAAGTGCAATGCATTTAAAACAGAGGTGATACCTCAAAATGGTCAGATTCATTGGCATCATCCAAGTGTATTTTCTCTTCGAACAGAGTCAGTGGGTCTCTAATGAAGAGATGAGCAACATGCTGGGCCAGGAGATGATCAATGCCTGTCAAGAGAGGTTACACCAGACTCCCGTCAAAGCCACAGGCTCCATTGTGTCTAAGTACAGTAAGACGACAGGACAGCTCAGCAAGTTTGAAGACAGGGCATCTAGAAGCTTAGGAAGTGGCTGGTTTGTTCAGTATCTGCATGTCGCCCAGGGTTTTATCCTACAGACCCTGAGGAAGTGCCAGAGTTTTCTTTGCTACTTACACAATGCCTGGTGGGGCACTGGTGTGGACCTAGATACAGACCTCCAAAGTAAGTTCCTTTGCTAAAAGTCAAGAAGATCTCACAAGTATTTGGAACTTGAAACTTTAGGAACAAGCAGCCTCATAAGAAAAGTTAAGAGACTTCACACTAAAAATAGAAACCAGACCAGAAGTCAGCAACAAGTTCTAAAGAGCTTTGAATAACTAAAAGTGTACAATCAAATCTAGAGAAAAGGAGTGGCTGCTCACCTTCCTGCAACAGTTGTTCGTAGATTTCTTTATCTATCGTCAAGTCGATGTCATTGTATTTCTCACCGCACTCAGATAAGTAACTGTCTATCGAATCGTATCGGGACTTACTGATCCTATAGTTATTGTTCTTCAGTGGCTAAAATTGAAAGAAAAATACTAATGAATGTCATATAAAATGCTCTGGAAATAAACTAATGCCTCAAATAGTTCTACTTAAATGCTTTTATGTTTTATATGTAATAATTATATACAAATATACAACCTGAAAAAAAGTTAATCCTGAGAAGTTATCAGGGAAAATTGTTTTTTAAAAATCTGGAAGTAACTTGAGTAGCTGCTCTCTGATATGATTTAAGTATACTTTTTTTTTTTTTTTTTTAAAGCAGATCGCCTTCATTCTTATTAAGCTAGGAAAATATATGCCAAGGTTGAAAGCAAACCTATTAACGTAAAACAGAGCTATTAAAATCATTTCTCCCTTAAAGTTTTATTTTTATTCTACTAAGGCAACATGTTCAACAATTTACGAACACTCACATGAAGACCAGAGCAGACCAGTGCAGCCCTGGTTGAGAACATCAGAGGCTCATTTAAAAACCGTGTCCAGGTCCCAGTTCTGGAGATACTTGTTTATTAGATCTAAAATGGGCCTGGGTGTCTATTTTTAAAGATCTTTAGGCGGTTTTGATGTACACTCCAGGTTGGAGAGGTACACAGTCACAGTTCAACATGCCAACAAGAGGCACTAACCTACCCTTATTAGGCAAATCTAACCCTTTATATGGGGCAAAATAATCTTTGACCACAGATTCCACAGCAGAAAGCTCATATACAAAGCACTCATGTAATGTCAAAAAGCCTTTTGGTAACAACAGCCCATCAGCACTTAGTTCCAAAATATAGGGGAAAAAAAAGCATCACTAAGTTTTACAAGAGGAGGAAACAAATCCAGATTTCAAAAAGTGATGAAAACTCCTTACCCCAACCAAATCATGTTTCCTGTATATTCACCCCAAAACAAACACTATGACATCAAAGACAAGTTTATAACCTGTGAATTTCTTCCCACTTGTGACTAAACCACTCAAGATAAAAATTTAAGGGAGACTTCAACATCATAAGTAGTTACAATAACCCCATTTTACCTGCTTGATTTTTAAAAAAAAAAAAGGCTATTAAGGAAAATCACTCCCACCTCCAGTCCTCTCTCCTCCCGAGTTCTATCATCTACAGATGCAGAAATCACTCCCCAGCGACAATCAATGTCAGACACATAGCCTCGGTAAAAAGGAGATGCAGCGCTCAAAGCCATCTAAAAACAAACAAGAGTCAGCACCTGCAGGTTCAAAGTGTCACTTACATGCTGAGAAAAGCACCATGCAGTTATCTCTGGTCTAGAAGAATCAGTTTAGTTGAGCCCTATGGAGCTCTACTCCTCTGTGCTTGCTTTTTCATAGTGAAAGAGACCAAAAGGGACTCAAATCCTTGGATGGGATTCATTTAATCATCCCCTCTGTCACGCTGAATGTGAAGGACGGGAGAGGGGAAGCGGCTACACTCAAACTTGACACTTTAACACACAGATGTCTTACTAGCAATAGTAAACTTCTACAGCTTGGAGTCTTAGTCCATTAGCTCTAAATGCAAACTATTTATGTTAGTTCATTTCTGAATAAAGTCTTAACTGGACTTAAATGGCACAGAGTCAGCAAATGTTGCACAAGCACTCTCTCTACAAAGAAGTCTTATTTAAGTAAGATGTCGTTTCTACTTACGACAATTGGACAGATAGTGGCCAACTGATCATACAGGTATCTGGCCTCAGATATGCTGCAGGCTTGGAACGTTACCTGTTTAAAAATTACAGGTTATTAACAATGATGAATCATCAACATCCTCCCCAAGGAGTCGAGTCTGAGAAGGAGGATGGCCAGGGAAGACAGAGGGCATGGTGTGCAACGGTCACCCCACAACTAACAACACTTATTAACACAGCAGTTTTGTTTAAAAGTTGCCTTGGATGAATTTTGCCAAACAATGGTTTGATCATGTTCACAACTAATATAAATAACCATTTCCTAAGTTAAATAAGATTAAAATGTCAGGAAAGGAAAGGAAAACACTAGGTAAACAGCAAATTCAGCAAGGCATTGCTGTGACTTATTTCCCTCAACAGCATTCCAAGCACTTCAGTTAGCTCAAGGGTTAGAGAAATTTTGGTACAAAAGGACAGAGAGGCTTATAATGGATTTCAAAGCTCACTGGTGGCAAGTACAAGGAATAGCCTGGGACACAGCGAGACTGGAGGAAGGGAGAGCAGTTAAAATACTGCAGCCGACAAGGCCATAACCAAGGAGGGCTGCAGGTGGAGGCACACCGGAGTCAAAGCAGTGGCCGCTGGGAGCCAGGGTGGGTAGAGAGAATGAAGGTGTGACTTCGGTTCTGGCTTGGGTGTTCCTGGGACAGACAGTGAGCAGAGGCACCAAGACACAATGGGCATATGAAGGAAAGGAGCAGGTAAAGAAACCCTTTAAGTGGCTGGGTCTCCAGGGCTAATGCCCAGAAGACAAGTCTGGGGTGGAGAAGTATTTAGGGAGGAAGCTCAGATAATGTTCTGAAGATGGGCAGGATCACCCAGGAAGCCTGCAGAAGAGGGGTAAGTAGAACATTTCAGAGTTAGGCAGAGAAAAAAAAATTGTATCATTCATTAGTACAAATGTTCTAGAAACAGTTACCCAAAAGAAACCAAAAAAATCCTGCCTGCCTTGGGGTGGTGAGCAGTGGAAGGGACTAGGAACACAAATCCTGGTTGTGTTAGCATATCCGTATTAACTGCAAATGGGGAAGTTTTCCTGTCCTTTGTTACCTAATAATGATATTTTGAATTTAGTGTTGGTGCAGGAAATAATTTAAGGGCTTAATCCTTGAAAGAGTAGCAAAGTGAATATGTTTATTGTTATAATCCCAACCTGTTATTTCCCAGTTTTAGCCAGGTCTCAATTTTGCTTTTTTAACAAAGAACTTCTGTTAGGAGATTCACCGTCTACCTGGAGAATATATTCATGTCAGTGTGGTAACTACAGAAAAATAATTATTTAGACAACTTGCTATAATTTCTGTTAATGATTCAATGCTATATTTTAATTAAAATGTCCTGGCAATTAACCAGCCATTACAAATTAATACAACATAGAGAAGAGCTGTGTCCTAGACCTCAAGGAATAAGAGTATCAAAGGTTAAAGGAAGAGACTAAGCAGGGCTGGCAACTGGGTCACTCTTCACCAAAACAAGGGCAGTTTCTGCAAAGAGATGGGAACTCAGAAATCAGCTTGTGCAAGTCTAAGGATAAAATGTCAAGTGAGGAAACGGGAGACAGTAAGCCAAGTATTTACACGCTTCTCTGCTGGGACAGACTGGCTTCTCTTAGATAACCTAGTATTTACCAGACAATTCACAGGCAAATCCTGGAAAAAAGTACGCTTAAGAAAATTCGCACCTGGAATTCCACAGTTAAGTTACAACAGTGAAGTGACTTAGTTATTCTACATATATTTAGTAACTGGCTTCAGCACTCTAGAGCTAATATATCTCCAAATCAAACAGGACATGACTGTGGTTAATGGCTGCGGGGGAGGGGGACAGTTCTTATGCCTTCAAAAGTATGAACAGTTTTGGCTTCTGGTGTCCCTTTAAAGTATCTCATAAGAGAAGCAGTGTCACTAGGAAACAGAGGGGAATAAAAGAGGAAGTATGAAAAATAGATGTTAGAAGACTAAATGTCTACTCTAAAATTTACCTAGAACCCATTTTTGAAGCCACCTGATTTTTCTTAGAGGGGGAAATACCTATTACAACATGCATGAACTTATTAAATGATTCCTGGAAAACTCCCCAAGAGTCAAGCATTTGAGTGTGATTATGTGACTTTCTGTTTTGTACAGTTAAAGTCTTCCATTAACCTTAAAAAATTACTTTAAAACATTTTCTGCTTTATTTTAACGAGCAGCTTCTAGTTTTCCACTTGAGAGACACAAAGCAGGGTGTTTTCTGTGGTGATGTGTGGAATTCATCTCATTTCCCATGAACTTTATGTGATTCATGCTAGTAATTTTTTAAAAATTTTTATTGTTATGTTAATCACCATACATTACATCATTAGCTTTTGATGTAGTGTTCCATGATTCATTGTTTGTGCATAACACCCAGTGCTCCACGCAGAATGTGCCCTCTTTAATACCCATCACCAGGCTAACCCATCCCCCCCACCCCCCTCCCCTCTAGAACCCTCAGTTTGTTTCTCAAGAGTCCATCGTCTCTCATGGTTCGTCTCCCCCTCTGACTTACTCCCCTTCATTCTTCCTCATGCTAATAATTTTTTAAGTGGAGTATTCAAAGTAGGGTCTTGGCCGTGCTATCAACAAAAAGAAAACTTCATCCTAAACCCATGACAAAGCGTAAATTTGGATGGACAATTGCATCTACAGGTAATAAAAATGTTAGAACACATTTATTTGTATGGTATTTCAAGAGAAAAGACCATCCCTTTGGAATGAAGTAACTGTGCTGTCCCTGGCCGGGCACTCTGGTTTAATATTAAACCGAGAAAAGGCAATCAGTACTCCAATTGCACTGATACAATTTTAAAGCCATGCACTGTAAGTTCTAGACCTTAATGGTTCCCTTTAAAAACATTTGTAATTAAGATAGAAAAGCAGATATGCAGGTAAAAGGTCTCTTTTTTATGAAATGTGACCCTTTGTAAGGAAACTTACTGGCCTGTTTTTTTGGAAGACCACACACTTTACACTGCCTTTGTGAGTCAGGAAAATCAGGAAAAAAAAAAAATGATGGTTATGTAAACACATTCAGCATGGAGCAATCGGACTCTGGCATTCAATGTTCATTTTACAGAGTTGTAAAAATAGGCACATCAGAGCCTTATGTGCAAGAAGGCGCGTGTCTACACTGCAACTGTCTTGAGATGATGGGAATGCAGAGTTTTTTGGCCTCTGGATGGAGACCGGGCAGACTGGAGGCCCAGTGACTCATGTGGGGCTAGGCTTCACACTACTCCAGGCCTCTAAGGATGCCACTTCTAATCTTCGGAAATAATCCGAACTGTATACAATCTCCCTGGACAATAACAAGTGGCCTTTTTACTGGAAGTTTTCAATTTTCACTTTATACTTTGTGCAACTCCTACTCCTGTTCTTATGATTTTAAGCAAAGGAAAGGTTAAAACAAACACTTCTACTGATAAAAAACAGCAAAGTAAGTATTAGCTTAGAGTCAGACCTAGAAAGGGATTTAATACAAACCTTCCAGTTAACCAAGGAGAAAACCAAGATGAAAAGAAGTGAGGAGAGCTACCCAAACCCACGAGTAGTAGGCCCTGCTGCAGGCCAAGCACAGGCCCAATGCTGCCAGGAGGGTACTGTGCCCGCCCACCCAGGTCCTAAGTGAGCTTGGGTACAGTTCCTGCCAGGGGCACCAGCCATCTGACTAGATCCACGGGAAGTTTTAATGGAGGAAACAGAGAAAGGCTGTACCACATATGTAACTTCGCCAGGGGCAAGGCAAACACGGGCTGCTCAGCAGTTCTTTTTATACCACTAGATGGCCTTGCCTGAATATGACATTTCAAGTCCAAACAATCCTTCCCTTGGATCACAAGGTCACTGGAGTGCATCCAGAGGTCACTTTCAGAAACAGAGATCTGAATGATGTTACAAGCTCTAGGCCCAACCTTCACTAGAAAGAACAGAGGCAGGGATCATGGAATATTTTGCACTGTAAGTTAATTAACAACCATTTATCTTTGTAGAAACTGGAGATTCTCCATTAAGAGCTACCATAGCTACCAATGAATTTACTAAAAATCACTGGTTTTCAGAAAGGCACACTTAGAGCTTTCATTTCAACCTGATTACAATGTAATTATAAAAAATGCGAAACTATAAAGAAAACTAGCAAGTAGAAATGGATGAGGGCACTCTGCCTCTCTGTGTATTTGAAACAATACCTGAAGACAGCAATTGCCCATCCCAAATCCCATGGCATCCATGTAAATATGATCAGGCTTAGAAGCCTTGGCTGCCTCCTCATCCTCAGGAAATGTTTCTATAAATGGAGAGGGTGTATTCTTGTCCTTAAATACTGTAGGATTATATTAAAGAAAAAAAAGGGGGGGGACAAGGGTGAGATTCAAGAATTAAACAGCAATTCCCCAGGTGCCTCTCCCACCCCACCATCTGCTATGGACTTACTTGGTACATTGATGACAACCTTTTCTCCTCTCCTGTGTCGGATATTTCTTGTTAGGGTACTGAAAGACAACCAAACGTCATAAATCGGCTTCCTAAGAACCACCATGTAAAAGAAGAATTTGATCATATACAAGTAAATAGAATGAAATCCTACCTCAAACTAATTCTCTGAGGCAATCCTATAGAATATTTATGTGGATCAAGATATTCTGAGGGAATTTTCTGTGAGAAGGCTTTGCATTAACACCACTTCCTCTGCCTCTTGCTCAAGAATGCCATTCTCGCCCCTGTTCAACCCCAGATACCCCAGCTTGCTGTAACTTCTCAAATCAAATTCAAGTGTCTGGGGTCTGCCGGTGGTCTGGTCTCACCATATGTTTCTAACGCTCCCCATGTCTACTCTGAAGACTTCAAGCTTTAATACTTACTTTCCCTAGGCATCTCTGGAGCTCCAATACCTTGTTACTGTCCCTACCAACTGGCAGTATTAATACCTATTCTCTAGACCCACAGTGTCTAATCCAGAAGCCACCAGGCACACTGTGGCTGCTGTGCACCTGAAATGGGGCTAGTCCTAATTAAAATATGCTGTGAGGATAATATACACACCAGATTTTGAAGACTTACCACAAAACACAAAAATAAGGTATTAAAATGTCTTATCAATAATTTAAAAATATTGACATGTTGAAATAATTTTGGATAAAGACTAAACATATATAACAAAATTAAGTTCATCTTTTTTACTTTTTTCATGTGACTGTTAGAAAATTTAAAACATCTGAGGCTGACATGATTCTAGTGGACAGTGGTGATGCAGACTCAGCTTGCGGACCAGCTCTTTCCCATGGCTGCCAAGATCCCCTCCGTCAGAAGCATCCTCTCCTTTCCCTGAGGAGTGTCTCTGATACATCTACCTTTTGGCATCCAGCATAATCTTATCTTTTCTTGCAGCTGAATCTATTTTCCCCTTGGGCACACTGTAACATTTGAAGTTGGAAACTCCATCTATAAATCTGTTCCATCAAGACTCTGCATGTTAACAGGTGTGCAGACCTGTCAAAGGAATCAACACTGACAAGTTCCAAGGTCCCCACCTGCAGGTCAGGAGCCTAGTTTAGGACAAGAGAGAAGATTCAAGGTACAAAGCAAGATCAGACTGGTGTGGGCCCTGAAGCCACTTTGAACCCAGGAATGAAACTACAAGCTACTAGAGCTAGAAGTTAATAGAACAGAAGGTAAAGAGTTGTACATATCTTGCCTTGTCATGAAAGTATAGTGAGTGGAATGAGATCACAGAGAGGGGCATAAAAGGTAGGAATAACTAAAGAAAACTTCCCCAAATAGGCGCTTATAAAACTAGGACCAAAAAAATCTGTACACTAAAGACGACAGGGGCTAAGCCAACAACGTTAAGGTGACCTGTAAGATGGGCAAGTCGAGCTGTGCGCTAAGAAGCAACGATCAAGCAGCCACATGTGCATATCCTGCTGGCTTGTCCGGTTCATTACAATAGGAGGCTGAGTTCAGTAAGTGCTCAGCAAGGATTCTAGGAAGGAGCGCCTTACTCTCAGCAGGCAGGGGTAAGAGTGAGGGACATCTGTGTTTAAAGGCAGAGCCATACTCACCTGAAGCGGGGGTGCTTGTTTATGGCTTCATCAGGAAAGAAGAGGGACTTGGAAGCTCCTCCTTCAACTGGACTGGGTTTGAACTCTGGCAGCGTGAACCCAGGACAGCCTAATCTACAACAAATTGAAGAACTAAGTAGGTAGGATTTGTTTTCAAAAGTTAATAATGTCTCGCCATCACTGCACCTGTTAAGAACCACCCACACCCGTCTACTTCCCCCCCCTCCAGGGGGTCTAGCACATGAATGCTGTGTAAGTACCGTGCTTTACAAACACCCCCCTTGTACTTGGTCTTCCTCACCAACACCTTTGGTGATTACAGCCTCTTAGAGACTTTATCCATTCACTCGGGATCTCTAGAGTGCTTCTTCATGTCCTATCCATCTCTTCATTTAACAGCATCGACACAGAAGTCCCTCGGCTAGGTCACATCAATTGTCACAGGCTATGGGTTCCCCCTACACAGCGTCTGATGGTCTTCCTTTACCATCTCATCTCTCATCTGATTGTCTTTTGACCCCTGCACAGCCCCACTGCCCCCAACCTGTTGATAAGCTTTGTTCAAATATCAAAGGGCTCTCCTGCTTTTTGCCTCTACAGATCACCGCATGAGTCCCTCAGGATTAGGTAATGTCTCTACAGGTGTCCCCATCCGCCCCTGAGATCTCCCTCTGATGTCTAAAACCCAACCCTATTCTCTTACTTGACCTAACCAAGAGCTTTAATTCCAACACAGAAAAAGGAACCTCTGTCTTTATCCCTAAAAGTAAAGTTCAAATTCCACATCCAGCTCTTCAAGTTAAGAATTTTAAGGTCATTGTTAAATGTGCTGTGAGAGAGGACAAAGACCGACAAAGTTTGTGAATACAAAAGAAGGGAGGCTCTTGTCAGGGCTTTAGATCAGTGGTAGGAAACTCTTGGCTTAATAGCCAAGACTACCCATGCCTTATGTTCAGCCCCTACCTTTTATAAAATAAAGCACCTGTTGGCTGCCCATATCCGCCTTGTGAACAATGGAATTGGCTGATCTTATCTGGAAAACCGTTTCCAGCTATAATGAAGGTTCCTGAGAATTCTTGCAGCTGTGTGCATTATTTACTAGAAGCCTGCAAACTTAGGGAAAGTCCTGTAAGAGTGGCAGACTTCAATCTTGGGGATTCTGAGGCAACCAGAATTAGACTGAATGGAGGGAGAATGAAAATGTGTTTGGCAGGACAAAGGCAGTCAGAACTTTGATCCTCAGACTCCTATAGCACTGTTTTTCTTCCAGACTGGCACCATCCCACAAACCCTTCTGCAGCACTGGGAAGGGTTCATGTCCACCCTGTCCAATACCAGTGTGTCCAATACATGTGCCTAGTGAGCACCTGTACTGAGCCTAGTGTGACTGAGAAACTAAAATTTCTATTTAAGTGTCATTAAATTTAAATATTCACTTGGCCACTGTTTTGGATTATAGCTCCATGATACAGAGTTTTGCCTCTTTACAGAGAAAAATCACAGTTTACACTTAAGAAACCAAGTACTCCTTTCTCTCTTGATGCCAAAACAAAACTCTCCTTATCATTTACAACTGAGAGAAGGTGAGGCTTCTCCAACTAAATAATTATTCTTGTTTTGTTTACAAGTCCAAAAATACCCTCCCATCAAAAAATATAAGCTTTTTAAAAAAAATTAGATTTTTTTTAAAGATTTTATTTATTTATTTGAGAGAGAGAGAATGAGATAGAGAGCACGAGAGGGAAGAGGGTCAGAGGGAGAAGCAGACTCCCTGCTGAGCAGGGAGCCCGATGTGGGACTTGATCCCGGGACTCCAGGATCATGACCTGAGCCGAAGGCAGTCGCTTAACCACCTGAGCCACCCAGGCGCCCCCAAAAATTAGATTTTTAGAATAAAACTTATTCCTCTGTCTCAGCTCTCCCTTTATAACTCCTACTGCTTTTCGGGTAGCAACCCAAATTCTCAGTTAACAGGATATGGCCCACCAACTACCTGCCCAGCCTCCCCTTCCCTCTCAGCGTCCTGGCCCCACCGGCCAGCCTTCTGGTTCTCAAGAGGCTCCGTGCTCTCCCTATTCATCCTGGGACATCTGCCCACTCTGCTCACTCTCTCTAGGCTGTCCCTACCCTCCCCACTCATAGTAAACTCCTACCAGGACTCTGGACATCACTCCAACCCTCTTCCCCACCTCGCAGAGTCCACCTGACAACCACGTCCCACTCTCTGCTCCGCATCTTTTCCTCACAGCACTTCCTCAACTTTATATTCCCTAGATCTGTGGCTATCTGATCACTCAGTCTCCGCAGAGGCAAAGACTGCGTGTCTCTTTGTATTCATGACTGCATCCCCACACTGCATGGGTCTGGCATGGAGCACGCTCTCAAAAGTATCAGTGAAAGGCAGAGTCATGATTTTTTTTTTTTTTTTTACCTCCTCCTTAACACACTAGGGGCAAAGGACTATGCCAACTCTCTTCCAAGCAAACCTGTCCACCCTCATCCAGCTGGGGCTTTTCTTCTGGCAGGAAGCAGGAAGTGGCCTGCCTAATGGAACAAAGCAATCACAAAAATAAGAGATGTATTTCTAAATGTTTGAGTTGCTTAAATAGGGTTTCAACCATTTAGATGTTACACTGAAGATTTTTAAAAAGAAAATCCCTTCCAAGACCAGTGGTAGGACTCTGAACGCCTGAGTTCATTATGGACATTTATCAGAAAAAAGAGGGAGGGTCTAAAAATAGTTCTAAGTGTTTCAGTCTATGGATACCAATCCCCAAAGCTCTTTTGAACCCTGGCGAGGAAGCACACTTGGCCACAATCTGACAGCTAGCTAGCACAGGTAAGTCAGATTTACAATTTGGTAGAACTGCATTCCTATGCAGAGCTCCTATGTGTAACTGTACGATATTTATGTACCTCATTCTAGCTAAGAGCATAACTTCACTATTTATGGGTTTTTTTATATTTGTTTTTAGCAACTTTCAGCCATAACTAGATTTGATGGCAACCTGTAAATTTCCTTTTCAACACAAGACTCAAACATGGCCTAATGACCCCCCTCGTTCACAGTCAGGATATATCAGCAGTGGCCTGGGGGCACGGATGCCAGCCCTCCACCAGGTGACCATCCCACCAGCCACAGGCACCAGCATCTGCCAGCAGGCAGACAGGCCCGAGGAAGTAACGGTGAGAGTCGAGGGAGAAGAGCACCTGATAATCATCAGACTCAGCTACTCCTTAGAGGGTCAGAACTGCTTGGCAAATGCGCCGCTCCCTCCACCCTGGCCTGGGGTGGATGCCACCACGATGCTAGCAGTCACGGTGGTCCTCACGGTCTTGCCCACTGAGGCCAGACGAATGCTCTCACCACAGTGCCCCGGGTCACCACCCACCTGCTGAAACTGGCATACAAGTTTTGCCTGTGGCTCTAACATTACAGATTCTATCAAATGAAGCATATAAAGTACGAACTGTCTGTAAAGTAGGAGAACTGTACGGTCAAATGCTTGGGTCATGATCTGTTCCTTTAGAACCTAAAGCTCTGAACGATCTGCTGGGGCATGTTCATTTAGGAACTAACCTGGGAAATGAAGTTATTGTGCAGAGAGCCTGGTTTTCTCCTAATAAAGAAGTCGCTTCCTTCCGACGTTTCCTCATGTTGTCTTCGACTGTGTTGAACTCAGACATCGTTCCTCCATACGGCTGTCCAGGTGTGCCTTCAATCATGTAACTGCCGTACTCTGGTCTCCACAGAGTAGGATGGCTACAGAGGAGGAAAAATTCCATTCCCTCATATTTTGCTGCCGTCTACTCAATTTTTATAAGTTTTTAAAAAGTCACTTCCAAAAATGGAGACACCACTCCATATAAATGAAGCTAAGAACTCCTTTACAGTTCCCAAAGGCTGGTCATTCTCCTGAGCTCTTCAACTAGGTGAGGGTTAGAAGTACAAATATCCAAAATATTTGTAAGTACCTGAAAACCACACACAGGCCACTCGCTTTTCAAGACAAGCTAGGCCGCTTTGTGAGAAAGCAGAGGAAGCCACAAGGGCTCTTTCAGTTCACTGCTGGCCTCCAAACTCAAATGCTGCCTCCCGAAGTCCACGGAGTAGGAAAATGGAACTGAAAAGTACATGCCCCTTCACCTCTTTGTCTACTTAGAGAAATATTAAAAAACATTCTACCAAACAAACTCAGTGTAAGTTTTATCTGGCACCATGGTTTGGGATCTCAGTAACACTCTGTCCATTTTTTTTTTTTTTTTTTTTTAACATTCAGTAATAGTAAGCAGGCTTTATACTGTGTTGATAGTTCTAAGTGCTTAAATACATTATGTATTTAAAATGTCAACACCCTACACAGGACGTATTACTATCTCTACTTTACAGATGAGGAAACAGAGGCACAGAGATATTAAGTAACTTGACCAGGGTTACACCCAGCTATGAAGTAGGGGAACCAGGCGATGCCATCCTGCCTCCTATACATCTGAAGAACGATTCTACTTTAGTAGTTCTAGCAGGTTCAGAAACACTAAAGCAACCCTTTTATCAGCTTACTTGGGGTTTGTCCTTTCCCCCTTTTCTTGTAGAGTTTCAAGAACTTCCTCTCCAGACAGGACCAACCGGACTTTCTTATTTTCATGATCAAAAGACACCAACATGTATTCCACCTGTTGAAAGTAAAAGAAAGATTAACCTCCTTCCAGACTCATGTTCAGGGACATCTTCAGGAGAAGGCAGGAAGATGTGAAGGCTGGAAAGGACCCACAGTAACTTGAGACAGTCACATTTGCTTACGATACATGGCACACAATGACTGTTCTTTTGCATAATATGAAAAACTGGAGAAAGCGATCAGTCAATAGGGCCACTGTTTGAGAACCAGAACTCATTCCTTCATTACTTCTTAATGTCCCAAAGAAAAGTCAAGATACCCATTTTGACAGATTGTACTTCAAAAGAGAAGTATTTCAAAGCTAAAATTCTATAAATTACAATTACAAAAAGCTGTGTTTTTAAATTTATTTCCTCAAGTGGCTTACCGTAAGTTTACGAAAATGGTTATCTGAGCAGATTATCATGGTAGATTATCCTCATTTACTGGCAGTTTATTAACTCCCATTTAAGTCTCACTGTTGGAGAGTTAAATCATAATCATAAACACACCAGTATGGAGAAGTTATTTTAGGAGTTTCAACAATTTAATTTTGGTTTTTCAAGAGTAACTTAAGACAGCTTCCCCACCCTGAAACCATATGCAATTTACAAGGCAAGGTGCACTAGTGCGTTTATAACAATACCTGGTGGAATTCTGATAAAAATCAGGAGTTAAGTACCAGAGTGAGACTTTTCTGGGCAGAGTACAAATAGAGCCTGCTTTTGTTTTCCCTGAAATCACATGCTTATAATCATGATAGTTGGTGTAAACAGTGAAGACTATGAAACATGATTTATGGCTGAAATAAAACATTATCCATATGTAAGTGAAAAGGTATGGAATCAGACCATTCAGGCAAACACTTCAAAGTACCCTTGGACAAGTTACTGAGACAGAGAAAAGAAAAGGTGATCAACTGGTGCCCCACGAAGCAGACCAGTCAGCAGAAATATTTTGTTTAGCTTATCATAAAAAAAAGAAAAAAAAAAGCAACAATACATCCAGTATCAACCTGACGTTTCACATGTAAATCCAGATTTCCAGCCTTAAAAACAAATACCCAGAAGCCCATTTCTACTGGGTGGAGTATGAGCTGCTCTCCTCTGAGGGGGCATGCTCTGGTCTGCGGTGGCCTATTCTTACTTATATGTACCTGCCTGGTCTTGGACGGTGTTTCAGTTAGCCATCCATTACCACAGACAGTTTTGCACCTCAGCTAAGAAATATAATTATAAAGGGGAAAAATGTTAGTGACCATAGAAAATAGCCTGGCAGGTTTAAACAGTAAAAATTAAACTTCCAACTACCTTTTATTAAGTTGTTGCTATGGACTGAATGTTTGTGCCCCACTCCCCCAAATGCATATGTTGAAGCCTTTAATCCCCAGTGGATGGGATTAGTGTCCTTATTAGAAGAAATGAGAAAGATGATCTCTCTTGCCACCATGTGAAGATACAGCAAGAAGGCAGCTGTTTGTAAGCTAGGAAGAGGGCCCTCATCTGGAAATAAATCTCCTGCCACTTTTAACCTTGGACTTCCCAACCTCCAGAACCATGAGAAATAGGTCTGTTGTTTAAGCCACCTAAGTATGGTAAATGTTACAGTAGCCTGAACTAAGATAGCTGTCTTACTGATGAGTTTAAGTTCCCATTCTTGCTTTTCTATTAGAACTTTTTAGTTCAAGAAATAGGTAAGACTATTTGGTTTAGCTACATGAACCAGAAATGTGAAATTTGCACTTGTATAATCACTCAATGTCAAATGCCTGAAAACTGTGGGCTGCAGAATCCGGAATTGCTCCCAGATTTAAGTACAGATAGCTATCCAGGAGTCCTAGATCTAGATGGAGAAGCTAAGAGCTGATGGAACAAGAAACTTTGCTAAGTCTCAGGATGGATATATAAAAATATCCTAAGTGTTAGAAACAAGTTTACTTTTAAATGAACACAATGAGAAAGGGTATGCTGTGAATTTTCATATGTGGATCCTAATCTCCAAATCCATCATTTGAAGTAGGCATGATCACTTATTTTACAAATGTGCAAAGATGCTCAGAGAGGCTGAATAAACTGCCCAAGGCCACAGCATAAGGGCAGGGATGTGAACCTAGTCTGCTTGGCCTCAAAGCACAGCACACCTTGCTGCTAGGACTCTAAAGGATGCCAATCTTGGTTAGTAATGATAAGCTTTTAGAAAAAATGTTAGAGGGGCACCTGGGTGGCTCAGTGAATTAAGCGTCTGCCTTCAGCTCAGGTCATGATCCTGGGGTCCTGGGATCGAGCCCTGCATCAGGCTCCTTGCTCAGCAGGGAGCCTGCTTCTCCCTCTCCTCCCGGCCTGTGCTCTTCACGATCTCTGTCGCTATCTCTCTCTCTCAAATAAATAAAATCTTTAAAAAAGAATCGTTATAAGCTATATGAGGCAGGAACAAGATATAATAGTGGTTGAAAATCTCACAAATTGATTTTCTTTTATGAAGTGGGCCTGACATCATAGAGACATTGCCGTTACAGTTATAGATTTCAACAGATGCCTTAGCCCAGGTCTGCCTCTCTGAGGAGGAATCTTCCTACTTCAGTACTTCCTCCTTTGATCACTGGCGCCAACACATCTGCAGGGAATCATCAATTATCTGTGTTCTCTTAACCAGATAGCACGTTTCCTTCAAGACAGATGAAGAGATACTTCCTAGCTTACTGGGTTGCCATCATTTATCTATTATCAAAATGAAGAATTTTTGTACCACTTATATAAGCTAAAGTGCAGTAACTCGTTGGTTTCCTAGTTTTGAAATAATGGAAATCCTTAGTTTTCAAAATCACTGAGACCATGAGTTTAAAGCATGGGAAAGGCAGAAGAACAAAAAGCTCAAACTCAGGCTGAGTTTTAAATATCAGCCAAAAGGATGACATTTAAAATGCTTACAAACCAAACTCTCCTTAATTAAAAAATCATCCATGATATCATTAAGCAAATGAAACAGAAACACATCAGAATATTTACCCAAGGAGACAAAAAAAAAAAAAATAAACGTGCTTACTTTTGGATAAAATGAAAGTTCAGTTAGAAGCCTTAAGAACTCCCTAAACATTTTTCAAACTCAAATTTAAGGTGCTCGGAAGTAACCCCGCCCCCCAACCCCAGTCGCTTTGATTTTCTGCCTCAGTGCTCAGGATGGTTCTTTCAGCTCTTGGCTTTTTTGTTATCTTTTTAAACCCTTCCCCCATCCACCTCAATACATTTATGTTTATTTCTAATTCTAGGTCTCACAAACATCAAATGATTAACTCGATCTTTCCTAACAGCCAAACTAGAGCCAAAATGGAGTTTGGTTCAGTGAGCTAGCTGTTGAGTGATAATAAAATGACACATTAAGGCAATTCTTTCCCTATGTAGAATACCTAATGCCACAGGATTTTATTGTATCTGGATTTTGTCCCCATCTTAAACTTCCTTTTTGCATCCAAAGGATGAGAGAAAAAGACATAATCAGAGAAAATAACAGAAGGGACATAGAGGCCCTTCTGAACACAAGAGATTCCAAGGATCAAACATACCTGCTTCCTAACTTCGAATAGCATGCGGGCGACGTTAATCAGAGTTATAGCAACATCTATGTACACTGCACACGTACCCAGTCCCGAAGGCATTATAAGTGGTCTGCAGAGTGACTAATTCAAATTTGTGTAATCAATATAGTATTTGGAAGTAGCAAAAATAGCCCCCGTGGTCTATTCCCGGTTCAATGTAACTTAGGGACACTGCTATATGGTACCCATCAGTTATCTTTTTAAATGGGGGGAGAATAGACACAATCGAAATAACTTACCACTAGGTGAGACACTCATTTTAAAATGTGCCCTTTTTCTACAAATGAAAATTAAAATTTAGATTTCATTGCTAAAAAGGCTAAATTTTATCCCACTAGGGTAAAAAGCCACTAATATCTCGGAGCTGCTGCATCAAAGACAAAGGCCCATTCAAAAGACTACTATGTAGGCTACGTATTATAGAGTGTTGCTAGGAATGACCTGAACACAATAACCCACTAGTCATTCAGTGCAGGTTTACACAAGCACGAGGTGCTTTATGTTCATCCAGAAGCAGGCCAACAGAAGTAAAGAATCTTAATTGAGGGTGATGTAAGTACTCAGGACAATGCTGGATGTATAGTAGACCGGGAAATACTTGTGGATCAGAGTTCAAGATAACAAGAGTAACTGTTAACATCAAAATATTAATTTTTTAGGATTTACGTTGTCTTTAAATGGCATTTACCACTAATTTAAAATAAATTTCCTTTGTAAAAAAAATTTTTTTTTTTGGATACTCTACCATGAAGGCTTTCAAGGAGCTTATGAAAGGCTAGACATTTTATAAAATTTCTACTCCCTGGAGGTAAAAATGGTGTTTAATTAGCAAAGCAATCTAGGTTCTATAAGAGTTAGAGGCAGCTCCTTGTGTTTAGGGAGGTTCTACTTTGAGAAATTCTTTTGTCTCCAGCCATCCTACCGAAACTCAAAATTTGGGGTTCAGGGCCAGCTCCTCTACTCCACTGCTGGTAGTTGTCTTGATGCCTGCTGGAACTACCTGTCGCTTCTCAGAGACCCAGTTTTCTCTTTACACTAACTCCAAAGCAAGCCCACAGCCACTTTGAGGGTTAAGGACCCAGTTAGAGTTCATGACCAATCAGCACCCAAACCCACGATCTTGCTCTCTGCTCCCACCCCTCTGTCCTTTTACCCAACCAGGCCCAGTATTGGGTAGGTGTTGGCAATACGGTGAAGAATCAGGCAGGTGTGGCTGCTGTTCTCAAGCTTCCACTGTGGTTCTCAAGCCACAGCCAGTAACACAATAGAGCCAAACGATCTGGGAGTGCTCGGGATGACCAAGCAGAATTGTGCAATATGCAGAACTGATCCAGTCTAGGGGATCAGAAGGCTTCTTGGAAGAAAGGGCCTGGCCAGACGAAGGAGAGGGTCTACTGATGTTTCAACAACCTCCCAGAAGATTCCCATGCTTTCCCCAGCCACCATTCTGACTGCAGCACAATCACAGGTCTGGCTGCTCAGAGATGCAGATAAACTGGGTCCACCCCATAGAGATCACGTCACAACAGTCCTTCTCTAGATTAGAAGCAGTTTTAAAGCTCGCAGCCATGCCTTCTGTCCAGAAGACTGTTTTCTCACATGGCAAAACACAAATGACCATGGGGCGCCTGGGTGGCTCAGTCATTAAACGTCTGCCTTCGGCTCAGGTCATGGTCCTAGGGTTGAGCCCCACATCGGGCTCCCTGCTCAGCCGGAAGCCTGCTTCTCCCTCTCCCGCTCCCCCTGCTTGTGTTCCCTCCCTTGCTGTCTTTCTCTCTGTCAAATAAATAAATAAAATAAAAAATACAAATGACCATTATTTTGGGGCACACTCAACCATCCAGTTGGATGGCATCCATTTCGATACCTAGCAAGATACACAAACTTAGAGCACCCAAAGAGGTGCTAGCTGCAGTGATGCTTATTTTTAAACACCTGTACTTAAATAAGGAAGACCTGCATGACGAGACCAAAAGAATAGCTGTGCTTCAAATAGCGAATCAACTTGAGTAAGAAATTCTAATATGGATGTAATGAAATTTGATGTGGCTCAATGTGATTGAGGGCGGACTCCCAGGTGAGACACATCTAACAGCACTGCAAATATCAAAAACAGTGTTTTATGCGGTAATGTCTGAACACTTTTGGGGGACTAGTAACCATAAGGTAGAATCTGTAACACATGTGCTTTTGTACAGCCTTGTTTACGGTGAGGTTTTAAACTGCTAATAGGTTATATTAAACTGCCCTATGGTCCCCAAAGAAATGCTTTAGTATAGTTTAGTCTAAAGTCCTATCAAATTCTTAAATTATTGGATGTATTTTGACTTTCTCTCCTACCATGAAATGTCATTTCATACCACAGAATTACACAGGGTGTACTCTAGGGAAGTTTACACTTTAGGAAACCAAAATAAATGTGGCCTCACCCTGACCTGGTCTTCTGTTGGCATCCTAGATTAGGACTTCAGCTTACAGAGTACGCTGCTTTTTATTTATAATGTTAATCTCAATTTTAACAATACATAACATCAGTGAATTTCCTGTATGATTCAGTGAAGTAACTTCCTTGAATCATTATCTTGGCCCACACAGAGAAAAATTTTTCACATGCCAAGATTAGTAATACGAAGAAACCTAAGTGAAAAAATTGAAGACTGTAAAAGAGGGAAAGAAGGGGCGCCCAGGTGGCTCAGTTGGTTAAGCTGTCTGCCTTTGGCTCAGGTCAGGGTCCAGGGTCCCTCTGTTGGGCTCCCTGCTCAGTGGGGAGCCTGCTTCTCCCTCTCCTCCCTGCTTCTGCTGTTTGTCTCTCTCTCAGATAAATACTAAAATTTAAAAAAAAAAAAAAAAAAGAAAAAGAAAAAGAAAAGGGAAAGAAAATGGGAGTTGCCGGGGAAAATAAGAGACATAATGACACCCTTCACTAAAGAAAAAATATCACATTGTCCATTCTAGTAGATAGGAGGCACACGTGGCTATTCAGATTTAGATTTAACTCAAATTAAAAATCCAGTTCCCAAGTCCCACTAGCCACATAGGGCTAGTGGCTACCCTACTGAGTAGAGCAAATATTTCTATTACTGCAGTTGTGTTGGACCACACTGGACTAAATAAAACCCAGAAGAAACCACAACCCTGGAATTGTACCTGGGCTTACTAATTCATGACATAGGAAATCCCTCAAAGTAGATCCGCTTTCATGTGCTGTTAAGTAGCATGAGACATTTTTTTTCTGGGCCTCTGTTTTTATTTTTTTTTTTTTTTAACCATACCACTACACTTCAGGCATGTATCAGTTTTAATTTTCTGATGGTTATAAAGACCATGTTAAGGGACTTAAGGGACACCTGGGTAGCTCAGTTGGTTAAGCGTCTGCCTTCGGCTCAGGTCATGATCCCAGGGTCCTGGGATCGAGACCCACATCGGGTTTCCTGCTTGGCGGGGAGCCTGCTTCTCCCTCTCCCTGCCACTCTGCCTACTTGTGCTCTAATAAATAAAATCTTTAAAAAGAAAAAAAAAAAGACCATGTTAAAGGCATTCCTACCTTCTTTCTAATCAAATCTAGCAGAACCTAACCAGTCTTCTCACACAAATTAACCTCACAAAAGGTAGTTCCATCAAGTTACCAATGGTGATGTTTCCTGTGGCCACCAACTTAACACAGGCACTCAGCAGTTAAAACAACCCTAAACCTAAACCAGAAGACAATTCCTCCTGAAGAAACAATATTGTAAATATAGTTTTTATTTATCTCAAAACATCTGTACTTTAGACCTACAGCTTCTGGGTTCTAAGGACAAATGAATTCCTTGGCTCTTTCCTGTGAACATATTCCTCTGCTAGAATCCTGGTCACCACATGGCTAACAAGAAAGGAGGTAACCTGGTCCCCATCTAGATAGAGGCTGCTTTGGATCGACTGCTCTGCAGCGCTCAGTGTTGCAGGTGTGCATCATGAACCTCTGAGGTGGCTCCTACCAGGTGTAGGTGAGTTAGGGCTTTAGCGGGGGGGGGGGGGGCACGCTGGTGCTGCAGAGAATACCCACTCTCCATGGTGGTACCCAGCTCTGCCTGAACACACTCCTAGAGCTGGGCAAGCAAGAAAACAAGCACATTCAAGGTATAAGTTAGGTTGGCCTAAATTCAAGGACTGCCCGAGAAATAGAAATTTGGAGTTTTAGTTTTTAGAACTAGTGGTAGACTAACCCACCAAAGGGGTTAAAAAAAAAAAAAAGAGTGCTTTCTAAAGAGACTGAGAGCCAATGCTAAAACAGAGAAATTCCACCTCCAAAGTGACTGCTGTGCCCAGAGGGGCTCACCTATGCCCCCAGTGACAGGGCAGGGGGTGGGGGGCAGGGATTGAACACCTCCAAGTTTAATGCTATACTCCACCATCACAAGAGTCGAGCAAAGACACTCTTTTGTACTCACATCTCAAAGGCAGCATCAGGGTTCCCCCTCAGGAATACCACCTGGATGTTTGGGCATATCCCACTGAGAGCATTCTAACCTTAGGTTGGGATGTGGAAGATGGAGACTCCTGTTCATGTAAACGCCTTTCCTGCCCTATTTGAAATTCATGTGAAAGAGGTAAGTCGAAGCGCCTGATTCTGGCCCACTACCTGCTGCCCGGGGCTGAGGCTGGCACAGGCTGCATGACTATCGAGTGAGGTCAGCCCGATGATCATATAAAGGGCTCCACTGCCAGCAGAAGATTAGCTGGGGAGGCTGCAGTCACGTAACTAAACCCGTTAGCATTTGTCCTGCAGACCGAGAAATTTACCAAGCATATTCAGAATTATAATTTTGAAAGGATGGGGGCATTTCCCGAGAAGGGAATCACTGGCCATCTGGTAACGAAAAATACTGACGCATCTGTGGCTCTAAGACATTTATATTTTCACTCAAACAAAAAGCCTACTTCCTTTATCACCACCATCCCTTCCTCTTTTTCTTTTTCTGTCCACCTTCAATCTCATCTTGGGTTGGAGCCCATGAAGATGGTCAGAGTGCTTTTCCTCCTGCTTTTTTGGGAGCTGGTATACGGGCGCAGCAGGCTTTGGAGTTCATCAGTTTCTGGGAAGGAGTACGTAAAAACTGCGTGTAAACTGCCTAAAGCAGAAGTACACAGCACCACTGAGATGCTAGTGGCTATTGTTTTCTAGCTCGTGGGCAGGGGTGAGTTTAGTGAGACAGAATAGAGGTGTTTTCCAAATGTCGGTTACAACACTTGTAGTGAGCCAAAGTGGGCTGTAATCCACATTACATAAAGATCTTGAAATAGAGACTATCAGAATAGGTCACTCTTGGGAAGGGAAGTACCATTTCACCAAAATATTTCATTTGGCATTTGTTTCAGGGACTACAGGACTCAGTCAAAAGTGAAAGCTGATAGTGTGGACCACCACCTAATTCTGCAATCAAGTAGTCCTGGGTTCCTGCACCAAGCAGATCCGCTCACTCCCCTCTTTGAAACTTTCAAGCGGCTCACACTGAACAAAAAACCCCACACCCCTCACTCAGAGCATTAGGGCCAGTCTTTTGGCTCTGCCTCCTTTGTTTCAAACTTCCCTCTTCCCCACCATGTTGGGGCCACACTTCTGTTTTTCCAACAACCAAGTCAGGGTCTTGACAGCACTTCTATTCTCTCTGCTTGAGAAGATTTCACCTCAGCCCTTCAAACAGCTGGCTCCCGTGGGTCTCAGATTAAGTGCTACCTTTTCAGAGAAACCTTTGCTGACCACCCCACTCCCTCAGCACTAGGACCTCCTTCTTGTCCCCATCCCCAAGGGGGCACCACCCTGCTCAGAACAGTCTTAATTTTCCCTCTTTTCCTAGAAATATTACAATTACAGACATTTGGAATTTGTCTTAGACTCTGGGCCTTAGTTTCATCATTTGGAAAAATGCGGGGGCCGGGGGGGGAGTCCCTTCCAGCTCTAAAGCAATACAAGTATACCCCTGCTTTTCAAAAATTTGAACCAAGCCATTTCGTTTGTATGACAGACCTACAATTAGCAAAGGTTTCCCAGTTATCGGAAAGCACAGTGTTCCTATAAAACCCTGCTTGTGTTCCCTCTCTTGCTGTGTCTGTCAAATAATATCTTTAAAAGAAAAAAAAAAACAAAACGAAAAACTTTCATAAGGGGAATTGGTATAGAGAGAAGAGTGTTCCCTGTTTTCCAAAAGTTTGTGGTAGGCCACTTGCTTTTACAAAAGACCTACATTAGCATGGTAACTGCTGCCCCCCCACCCCCGATAAAAGCAAAAATCCTCTTTGGATTTCTTTTGGTTAGTGAAAAACATACTAATGTAGATCTTTCATAAAAGCAAAATGCCATAATGCAAAACTTTCAGAAAGTGGGGGATAACTGTACCTGTTTTTGCTAAGTGAAAAAAATCTGAAGGTTTTTTTTTTTTTTTTGTCTTTACAGAGAAAGGTGAAAATGGCGTTCCCCCAGCAAGCCCTTATAGACACAATGGGCACCCCAAACATCGAGAATGTAGTCAAGTCCCTTCCTTGGGAACCACACCAAGCATGTCAGCCTAAAGTAGGCATAGTTCTGACCTGTGTCAGTGAGCATCTCGGCTTTATCTTGGTTTATTTTGTGCATCCATGAGCAAGATATGTCCTAAAGTATCAAAAAAAAAAAAAATCTAAGGTTATTTTTGGGGTCTGGGAACACTCAAAATTTTTTCCATATATATTAATGGTAATTGCTTCTTCTCTTTACACCATTTTGGGTTACAAAATGTTTCATAGGGATGCTCTACTTTTGGTTGGTGGGGGAAATCTATATTTCTGTATTTCTATTAAGCTCTTCTGGAAATTCTTATATGATCATCCATTTTTCTTTCACCCTCAAATATGTTACTCAGTCTGCACTGCCAGGAAGGTAATTTTATTCAAATGCATTGTCTTATTACCCAAAGCTTACCCATTTTAAGCATATATCTCTTAAAAATTTTTATGTATATGTCAGTGGAAGTCTTTCTAAAATTGATTACATCCTCTTCTGCTATCAACTGGAAGATCCTAAACACATTTTCATTTTTTATTAAGGCTTCAGACTTCATTAGCAATTTCATTTAACTAGAATCACAGCAGAGCAAGGTTCTTTGAGGTACAACGGGCTGCCACGTCTAGATGTGCTTTTCACAGCTGCTCTCTGAATCGGCTGATTTGTTTATAGTTCATCCTGAGCTGAGAAACCAGATGCCAAGCTTTCAGGAATTGTGTATTAAGTGAGTGCTCTCTGGGTAAGGGCTTGAGACACTTTTAGGAGTAAAGCGCATAAACTTTGTACTTAGAAGCCTTTTGTTTACTTCCTAGTCCTCTGAGTACTAAAGCCCCCAGGATCAGGACCGCTAGATATAATTCACCACAGCAGTGGCAGCCTTGGGGGGCCAAGCAGAGAGGACTACCACGCTTAAGCACAGGCAGGGCTGTCTGAAAGCACGCTAGATAAAAAGGTCACTTGCAAGTACCCAACTTGTGTAAACATGTGAACATTTCCAGAAGGAAATGAAGGACACACTCCTAAATAACCTCTTCAGGTTTGTCTGAGGTTTAATGTGCTCAGAGCATATCCTTTCAAACAAAAACTTCTTTTCAAATGAAAAAAATGTTAACTTTCAGGGTTGCAGGTCACTGCTGCAACCCTGAGCTCTTGAAAACACTTCAGACAAGTGCCAACCAGCTTTTACAGGTACTTCCAGATCTTGACTCTCTCTCCAGAGCATTAAAATATGTGAAGCCCTGTGTACCCCAGCCCATGACCCCTGCAGGTAATCCACATGGGGCAGAGTCACAGCCTAGATTCTTACTAGCTTCCAGGAAAAGCGTCATGGAGTCTCTTGCCTAACAGTTTTAACTCTGCTACATCAGCATTCAGGAGGAAAAAAAAAAAAAAAGCGTTAACCAAATCCAAAGGACTAAAAAAAGGACCTCGGGGGGAAGGGAGACAAGACCAGTGGATCTGTGTGAACATTTATGCAATGAGGAACATCTGGTTTGGAGTTCTTTTGTAATCCTGTTCTGGAAATAAGTTGAACTACCAAATCCCAAGTGGTCTGACCATGACAGACACAGAAAACCTAAGCATATAGAAATCTCTCCAAATAGTGTCCAACAAAATTGTAGCCATATCAACTCTCCAAGGATATACCAATCCAGATAACCAAGGTTTCTGAATACCTATCAAGATAGATCCAAAATGTGGCGCCTGGGTGGCTCAGTCGTTTAGTGTCTGCCTTCGGCTCAGGTCATGATCCCAGGGTCCTGGGATCAAGCCCCATAATCGGGCTCCCTGCTCAGCAGGAAGCCTGCTTCTCTCTCTCTCTCACTCCCCTTGCTTGTCTTCCGTGTCTTTCTCTGTCAAATAAATAAATAAAATCTTTTTAAAGATTTTATTTATTTGAGAGAGAGAGAATGAGAGATAGAGAGCACGAGAGGGAAGAGGGTCAGAGGGAGAAGCAGACCCCCTGCTGAGCAGGGAGCCCGATGCGGGACTCGATCCCGGGACTCCAGGATCATGACCTGAGCCGAAGGCAGTCGCTTAACCAACTGAGCCACCCAGGCGCCCTAAATAAAATCTTAAACAAAAAAAAAAAAGATATATCCAAAATGAGCTCTTTTGGCTAGAAGTCTGAGGTTTAATCGTGTTTCCCTAACGTCTTAAACAATGTCTGAGAAACCCAATCTTTAAGTGGAGACTCAGGGACATCATTCTAAAATACTCAATCCATTACAATCATTTTCAATATATTACAGAGATAACTTAACAGCCATGGAGGTATTACTTAAGTGATACCCAAAGTCACATGCTATCCAGTTCAACAAAAATAGTTCAATTCTGT